GTTGGAGAGCAAAACTCATTTGAACGCGGGACATCTCGGACAACGAACCCGGTAGGTTTCCGCCCCACCCTCTTGGATGCAATTGGCGGACAGACTGCCATCGACCTGAGCCAGTCTCTGGCGGCGGCGGGATTGCCGATCCTGGGTTCCAGCGCCGAAGCGATTGACATTGCCAGCGATCGGCAGCGTTTCGAGCGTTTCCTGGTGAACTTGGGGATCCCCCAACCACCGGGCGCTACGGTGCAGTCCGTTGACCAGGCGCTGACCGTGGCCCAGCGCATCGACTATCCGGTGGTAGTGCGCCCCAGTTACGTTCTGGGTGGGCGAGCAATGGAAATCGTGGGTAATGCCACCGAGCTGATCCGGTATCTCACGATCGCCACCGAGGTTACCCCGGAACGTCAGGTTTTGGTGGACCACTACATGGAAGGAAGGGAATGTGAAGTCGATGCCATCTGCGATGGAGAGACGGTGCTAATTCCCGGCATCATGGAGCATGTTGAACGTGCTGGCGTGCACAGCGGCGACTCGATGGCCATCTACCCGGGGTTGAACCTTACCGACGACGAAGTGGATACGCTCGTTGAGTACACGACGCGTATCGGCCTAGCGTTGGGTGTACGTGGATTGATGAACATTCAATTCGTGCTGCAGGGCGGCAACGCTTACCGAAGTCCAAGCACGCGTCAAAACGGGCCGACTGAACCCACCACCGTTTATGTCCTGGAAGTGAATCCGAGGGGCAGTCGAACCATCCCGTTCATCTCCAAGGTCACTGGCGTGCCGGTGGCCAAGCTGGCAACCCGCGTGATGCTCGGCTCAACTCTGCGGGAGTTGGGCTACGAAGGCGGACTCTGGCCGAAGCAACGGTTGGTCGGTATCAAGGCTCCGGTGTTTTCGATGTCCAAGCTGGTCGGGGTGGACTGGTATATGGGCCCGGAAATGAAATCCACCGGCGAAGTTATGGGAGTGGATCGGGATTTCGCCTCTGCGTTGACCAAGGCGCTGCAGGCCGCCAGCATCAACCTGTCGCCCGGGATGGGGGTATTGCTGAGCATATCGGACCAGACCAAGGCCCATGCCCTGCCGTTGGTTCGAGGTCTGGCAGCTGCCGATTGCCGTCTTTACGCTACGGAGGGCACGCCGGCATGATCCGAGCGCTGGGCTTGCCGGTAACAACGATTACCAAGCGCATCGGCGACGGTTCGCGCGACGTGCTGGATGTGATCAACGACGGAACTGTAGGCGCGGTGGTAAACACGCTTTCCGGCGACACCTCGGTCATGGAAGATGGGTTCTACATTCGTCGGGCAGCCGTGGAACGGCGAATTCCGTGTTTCACATCGCTGGATACTGCCCGGGCCGCGATGGAAAGTATGCTCAGCGGGTTGGATAACTACAGCGTCATGACCACCGACGAATATCTGAATCCGCCGAAGTAGCCCATTCCAGGGTTAGGCCCGGCGTATCGTAAAACCCGCCAGGGTGGTAGCAGCCTAGAGCGGAAGTTCCGTACCCAGCCCCAGGGCTTCGGCCCGTTCCAACACCAGCTTGGCGGCGGCCACATCGGCGACACCGGTGCCCATGAGCTTGCAGTACACCTTATCTTCAGCGCTTTGTCGCGCCGGAAACATGCCGGCCACGACGTGCCGCAGTTCGTGGAATTGGCTCCATTGCACCAGTCCTGAATCCACCGCGGCGGTGATGTCACCGCATTCCTGGTGGGCCTGTTCCATGGAGTCTACGAACCGCCGGTCGGCATTGGCCAGCACCGCGTCGTCAACTTCTCGGAAGCGGCGGAGCGTGGGCCCAGCGCCGATGACCGTCGTCCCAGCAGACACCCATTCGCCCTGAACGACGGGCGTTTGCGTAGCAGCGATGGCAATGACAATATCCCGATCCGCCACGGCGTCGCGATTGGTATCCACTGCGACAACGGGCAAGCCCAATTCCTGGGTCATGCGAGCGGCGAACGCGCTGCGGTTTTCCGGGTTTCGGCTGTAAGCGCGCACTTCGGCCACGTTCCGGACGGCGCAAACGGCCCGCAACTGGTCGCCGGCCTGATTGCCTGTACCGATTACGCCGACGGTGGCAGCATCAGGGTTGGACAGGTGCTTTACGGCCACGCCGGTGGTAGCGCCGGTACGGAGTTGCCCCAAACGGTTCGCCTGCGTATACAACAGCAGCCGCCCGGTGTCGGCGTCATACAAACTCACCTGGAAAGAATAGCCGTTCCTGGTGGACGTGAAGGTTTTGACGCCCATGATGCCGCCGTAGTTCAGGGCACCGCCCATCACAGCCAGATAACCACCCGGCGTAGCGACGCGTTGCCGCGTGAGGTTTACGGCATCGCCACGTCCGAAGTGCGCCTGCATCTCTTCAATTGCGGGCAGCATTTGCGCCAGATCGACGCACCGGTCGACGTCAGCATCGAGCAGAAAACGGGCCATGGGTTTCTTGTGGGATTACAGGTAGCGGTCAGGAGCTAAAAAAGCGGCGGTTGACCTGAATATATTCCCGGAAGCCAGCGGGCACGGTGAACTCGTCGAAGATTGCTGAAACCGGGCACACGGCTACGCAATATGCACAGTCGATACAATCGACAGGGTTGATGTAGTACATTGGCGCATCGTCGTCGGTATGGATGCAATCCACCGGGCAAACCTCGACACACGAGGCGTCCTTGACTCCTTCGCAGGGTTGCGTAATCACGAATGCCATCACATTACCTCGGCAGACGGGCGTAGAATGGCGATCCATGTTCCGGTCTGTTCACGGGTCGCGACGCCCAGATGTTGCCCGTTAATGGTATGCATTCTGCGGTTTGTTCCGATATTTTGTCAAGCGATATGGGCCCCATATCGCTATTACCCGACGCCGTATCAATCTGTTATCGGGTATCATCGGCATCATTGGCATGCGCACTCAAAGCCCGGTCGAATGGTGGTGCAGCCAGTCAGGTCGCGCGCGCCGAGGCTGGAACGGTACCGACGAGTCGAATGTTGCGGCCTGCATTGCATTATCCGTTGCGTTGATATAATATATCGGGAACCAAGCGGCAATATGTCGTTGGCGAGCCGTTGCCCTAGAAGGTGGACTACCAATGGAACTACGCGAAATTATCAGTTTTTACCACGTAGCCCGCCTGCGTAGCGTATCGAAGGCTGCGCGGAAGCTGGAACTGGGTCAGCCCACGGTAACAACTCACCTCAGGAAACTGGAGGGTGAGTTTGGAATCATCCTCTTTGACCGCATAAAGCGCCCGATACAGCTGACCTCGGAAGGCACGCTTTTCTACGAGCTGGTAACACCCATCGTGGAGTCCATCGACACTCTGAAGACGCAAATGGATTACACGGAAGGTCGGGGTTCTTTCGTGGTCGGCGCCTACCCAGACATCGTGTCCTATCATCTACCCAGGCCGATTCGACGTTTCCGCAACCAATTCCCGGATGTGAAAATGCGTCTGGTCGCCCGGTCCTACGCCAACCTGATTCAACTAGTGAAGTCGGGAGAGGTGGATCTGGCCTTGTGCTCTGCACCCCCACCCGACGACGCGTCCCTGGAATTCTCGGAGCTTTTCCACTATAACGTGGTGCTCATAACCGCCCCGAAGCACGAGTTGTTGCAGCGGGAGCAGGTCACGATTGAAGATATGGCGAAGTGGCCGCTCATCCTCAACAGTCCCGAGAGCATGAGCCGGCGACGGGTGGAACAAAAACTGCGTGAGAAGGGCGTTGCCTACGACGTAGTGCTCGAAATGGATAACACCGAGATGATCAAACGGTACGTAGCGATCGGCATGGGCATTATTTTTAGGTCGTGATTATTCTATGTTAGTTGTTTTATTTTAGGGGGAGGGATAAGGGGGGGGGGGGGAGGATAGCGGCAGAGGGGGAGGGGGAGGGGTGGGCAGGGTGGGTGAGGCAGGGGGGGTAAGGCCAGGGTGGGGGCGGGAAGGCGTTTTTTATTTTTTTTTTTTTTTTTTTTTTTCAATTTTATTTTTTTTTTTTTCCCATTCATTTCCAATTTTATATTTTCGCGATTGTCAGTGATTTCACACTGCACCCCGAAGATCTGTGAACCACGCGGTCGTTGTGCGACTGACCCCTGTTTCCGGCGGCGAACATGGGGATCTGCACGTTGCGAGGGAAGTTCCACGGTCAGGGAGTGCGCAATTTCATCGACACGCTTTCTGAAAGCCTGTCTGGTTTCCACGCGGATCTTTGGGACTGGGACGTTGACCACGGGGGAGAGCGGCGGCTCAGGCCATTGCCAGCGGTACTCAATAAATTGATGGCGGCCCGAGGTTGATTAACCACAATCCCGGGCCTCCATCCGTATGTAGTTCCAGAGGCGTCGGCGAACCACGGGGACCAAGGGGCCCGTACCCCGGAAGCCCGTGATCTGGCAATCCGCGGCTTTATGCGCTGGTTACGGCAATCGACCAGAAAGTCTGTGCTGCCCCGCGCGACCCAGCCGGTCCACGACGTCATCAGGAACCTGGCTCCCTTTTCCACGTAAGACGCTACGTTGTCATCGTTGACGAGGGTTCCGGCGGTTCGACCGGCGCTGACAATGCGGGCTAGGGCGTCGTCAATCGCGGCCTGAACTTCGGGATGGCCCACGTTGCCGATGTGCCCCATGGTCTGAGACAATCGGTTGGGGCCACGAAGAACACGTCAATGCCATCGACCTTGAGGATTTCATCCGATATGGCCAGGCCGTGACTGTCCTCGACAGGAACGACTTAACATCGTCTGGTCATTGGCCTTATGGACATAATCCGGCACGCCGAAGGATTGACGGCCACCGACATCTTGCGCGTCACCCAGCGGGGCAAACTTCGCAGACCCTACGGCCGCTTCTGCTTCTTCACGCGTGTTGACATGAGGCAGGACCACGCCCATGGAGCCCCGGTCCAGTGTGCGCGTGATGAGCCCGGCGTCATTGGCGTTGCAGCGCGTGCGTGATTGACGCATCCCCCAAAGATCGCACGCTCGCGTCATATCGCCCAGCGTCTCCCAATCCACCGGCCCGTGTTCACATTCCATCCACACTGAATCGAAGCCCAACGGCCCCAGGAAATCGATGATTTCGCTGGACAACAACCCGGAAATGCAGGTCGCCGCGCCGGTTGGCCCCGTTGTAGCTTGTCCTTTACTGGATTTGGTCGTATTGCAGGCACCGCAGTCCTCCTAGTATTTGATGTGTCGGGCAGGATACAGCAGTGACAGAGTGTGGTCCGTATGGTGGTAGTGGCGACCGCCTGGTTGGGTTCATATTGCGGAAGAAAACGGGATGGACGGTGTTCTGGAGGTGAGGTCTGGCGACGCATCGGCCGGGTGAATCAACGTTGCTGTTTGACTTCGTACCCGCGCGGCGTAACCATGCGCCCTCTTCGTGGACGTAGGTGTTGGAGTTGCCAATTCTACGGTGGTGAACATATCCACGCCCAAGTTAGCGCCGTCCAGTCCACCCAGGTCGGCCAGGGATACCGCCTGCTCGGGGCCGTAGGCGTGTCGCACGATGCCCACCGGTGGAGGTGGAGTGCTGGTGCGGTGGCGGTGGGGCGGTGGTGAGAAAATCTTCTGGCGTCGTCGAGCTGATGGGTGCGTCGTCGGCTACGCGGATTGTAGAGTACGGCTACGAAATCTCCGGCCGCGGCTGCCTCCAGGCGACGGACGATTTGCTCCCAAGGTGTCAGCAGATCACTGAGGCTGATGGCACAAAAATCCTGCATCAACGGCGAACCCAGCAAGGCGGCAGCGGATTGCAAGGCGGACACTCCAGGAACCGTCTCTACCGCCGGCTCGTTTCCGTTCCAACCGCGGTCGGTCAACACTCGGTACACCGGCCCGGCCATGCCGTAGATGCCGGCATCGCCGGACCGACGAACGACTCTGCTAACGGGGCGGGGCGGCTCCGAGAGGCTTATATCGACTCCTGCAAGGAGCGCGTTCAACCCTGGCGCCATGTCATGCGTGCACAACTTTTGTCCGGTACAGACCGGCAACACCCTGGTCAGATGTCGAGAACGATAACCTACGAGTTCGTCGCTATCAGCGATGGCTTCTAGCGCCGCCGGCGTCAGGTGCCCCGCGTCTCCTGGGCCCAGCCCCACCAGATACAGTTTTCCCACGCTCATTAATGGCTCCCTTGTGGTGGGGCGATACGTGCTATAGCAACCGTCGCCCGGTCTGATTTGGTGCGCGAGACTACCAATCCACTGGCGCCGGCCGCCAGCATGGCCGCCGGTTCGGACACACCGAACACTCCCAACAAATCCTGTGCCGCTGACGGCGTGGCGGTTTTCAGGGGACTGCCGGCCGTGGCTGCGACGGGTTGGCGTTCTGCCACGGCGTTCAGCTCAGCAGCGGTGTACGCGTGCAGTGGAATGCCCAGATGTTCGGCAAGTGCGACCCAGGCCGCTCTCGTTGGCCTTGATGTCCGCGGTCGCCAGCGAGCGAGACAATTTATCGACAAATTGTTGGCTGCAAGCGTGGTTTCGAGCAGTTCTTTCAGGTGTCGTTCGTCGACGCCGCGTCGGCAACCGACGCCGGCCACCAGTGTGGGTGGGCGGTAGATGACCACGGTCGGATTGGAGTTGGGTAAATCGTGCGGAAAAGGTTCCAGCCGATCGGAGACGACCAATATTGCGCGAAATTGTCCACCGAACGCATCGTTCACGTTTGCCACGGCGGCGACACCGTCTGATGGTGGAATGTCATCGGGCCAGTGCGCTCCGGTTTCGGGGTCGAGCCACAAGGCAACCGGGCCGCCATTCACGACCGCCGCTGCCGCACGGGTCAAGTCCGTTGGGGTTGCTTCGATTTGCCACCCCGAACCGCGCCCCACCAGGTCGACGGCGGTTACGTCCAGCGCGTCGGATGCCGATGTAATGACGGGTTGGGCTCCGATGGCGGCGGCTATCTCGGGCTCGCCGTCGCGCGTGGTGGCCCGGATAGCAGGGCTGCACTGCGTCGCGGTCCCGCTCTTCGCCACGCACACCCCGCCTCAGCGCTTCCCTGCTCGTTTGCTCGACCAACACAGCGCGCGCAACAGTCGCACAGTGGCGCCCACCGGCAGAAATACCACCAGGCGCCGGTAGCCGGTGAACAAGCGCTGCAACACCGGACGCAGGGGCAGGTCGTACAGCCTGACACCCGGCGTTTCGGCCAATTCCCCACCGGTAATTTTGCGTTCCAGGTAGAGATCGGAATACGCGATGGATGCCGCCAAGTCCATGGCCAGCGCAGCGCCGGGGCGCGAAACCGCGACGATGGCAGTTTTGTCGTCGGGGACTTCAGGCATCAGCCGGCCCGGCTATGCGTCGCCGTTGCCGACTACGGGTGCGACGGCTTCCGGTTGAATCTCATAGCCTCCGGCGCGTAGAGGTCGGCGCGGTCGGCGTCCGCGTGGTCGCCGTGACCGGCCCGGCGGTACAAATGGGTGTACTCGTCGGAGTAGAGATGTGAGACGGCGACTTTCTCACCGGAATTGGGGTCGAGCAGGCTGGGGTTCACCGCTTGCCCGACGATGATGAGCGCCTGCAGCGTGATTTTGGCGTCACGCACTTTCTGCGCGATGTCTTCGAGCGTCCCTCGAATCACCAACTCTTCGGGCCAGCCGACCCGGTAAACCACTGCCACCGGCGTGTCGGCGGGATAGCCGGCTTCCTGCAGTTGGTTGGCGATGCGGAACATGCGGGTCACGCTGAGGAATATCACCAGCGTGCTGCCGTGGCGAGCCAGGTCAACCAGATCCTCGCCCTCCGGCATCGCCACTCGCCCCTCGGCGCGCGTCATGATGACGGTTTGCGACACTTCCGGTACCGTCAGCTCGACCTTGAGCACGGCGGCGGCGGCGAAGGCGGCACTGACGCCGGGGATAATCTCGTAGTCAACCTGCTCCGATTCCAGAATCCGCATTTGTTCCAGAGTGGCGCCGTACAACGAAGGGTCCCCGCTCTGGATGCGCGAAACGGTTTTGCCGTCGGCCACGGCTTGCAGCGTCACCGACATGATTGCATCCAGCGACATATCCTTGCTGCCGTAGATCTGGGCGCCGGCACGGGCAAAACCGGCAATTTCTTCCGGCACCAGCGAGTCGGCGTAAATTATCACATCGGAGGTTTCAATCAACCGCTTGGCTTTCAGGGTCAGGAGTTCGGGGTCACCGGGCCCGGCGCCGATGATATAAACCTTGCCCGCATTCGTCATTGGAAATGTCCTCCGCTGTGGTGGGCGTGTTTAGCGCCGGATGATTAGTAGGGAGAAGTAGTCGAGGTCTTCGTCGGTGAGTTCCCGAATGTCGCGCACTACCCGCTCGCGTTCGGTGGTCGCGCGGCGGACGTAGATGGTGCGACCGGCCAGACCCAGGCGCTCCAGATTGGCCAAGGCATCCAGCAAGGTCCGGTTGACCTTCATCAGGACAATGGTGTCGTAAAGGGCGATGGCTTCCCGCAGGTCATCAATGCCGTAAACGGCGGGAAGAATGGCGAGGCGTTGCCCGTGCGTTACCAGCGGAGCCACCGCCGAGGCCGCCGCTGCCATTACCGAGGATACGCCGGGAACGACTTCCACGGGCAGATGGGGGAATTCGTCCAGGATGGTTTCCAGTACATAGGAAAACGTGCTGTAGAGCATCGGGTCGCCTTCCGTGATGAACGCCACATCGCTGCCGGCTTCCAGGCGGTTGGCGAGCTCGCGGGCGGCAGCGCGCCAGACTTCTCCCGCAGCATCTTCGTCATTGGTGGGGAAAGTGGCCCGTACCACTTCCTGCTTGTCCTCGTCGATGATGCCCTTGACGATGCTGTAGGCGTAACTTTCGACACTGCCGCCGGCCTGGGGGACCCAGATGACGGGCACGGATTGCAGCACACGCTGCGCCTTGACGGTCAGGAGTTCCGGATCGCCGGGCCCGACGCCGACACCGTAGAGGCGGCCAACCGGGCCGGAGCGGGGAGCTGAACTGGTCATCGTTGACCCCAAACAATAAACACCGGGTTGTATGCCTCCAGTCGCAGGGTTCCGTCGGGCAGTTCCCGGCCTCGGGAAGCCGCCACCATGGTCAATTCTGGTGAGAAGCCGGTTTCGCGCAATGCGCGGTAGGCGGAGTTGGCTCGCTCCATGACGGCGAAGTTGGCGACAACTCTACCGCCGGGACGCAGACGCCGGGTAACTGCCGCAAGTATGGAAAGAATATTCGCGCCGCCGCCGCCGATGAAAACCGAATCAGGATCGGGCAGGTCTGACAAAACCGCCGGCGCTGAACCGATGACGACGCTGACTCGTCCTTCGCCGAACCGGTCCACATTGGCTTGCAGAAGGTGCGCGCTCTCAGCGTCGCGGTCGATGGCGTAAACGTGGCCCATGCAAGCGATGTATGCTGCCTCGACAGCCACGGAGCCGGTGCCAGCCCCGATGTCCCAGACGATGCTGTCCGGACGCAGCCCAAGGTTGTAGAGGCTAACCGCCCGCGCTTCCGACTTGGTAATCTGCCCGCGTACCGGGCGGCGTTGGTCAAACGCGTCATCCGACAACCCGAACGGTCGAATCTTGTCGATGCTGGCTGGCGTGGTGTCGTGGATGTTTTCAGTCCTTACCATCGGGAGTTGCTACGCTGGTTCCCGCATGGGAATGCCGTCAGCCGATGTGCTGGCTGAACCAAGCAAATGTCCTTCAAAATCAAAGCACAGGGCATCCACGATGAGGGCTTCACCACCTGGGCCCAGGTAGGTGTGTGCCTGGTCGCAGACCAGTTGGCACATCAGGGGGAACACACCCATGACGTTGTGCTGCTGGGCCAGTTCCTGAAAATGGCGACCGCTGGCGGCGTTTCGCATTTCTTCCTGCAGATTTGATGGGGCGCCGCACTGTGCCGCGAGGCTGGCAAGGAAATCGGTGTCCACCTGATTGCCGGCCACGTGGGTTACGAAATAGCCCATCGCCATTTTAGAGAACTTGCCCACCATGCCGACGTGGGCGACTCTTTTGATGCCTTTGTTCAGGCAGCGTTTCATCGAAGGGCCAGAGAAAATGCCGGCTTCGACGTAGGCCATATCCGGCAAATCCAGGAGGAGTCGCGTGTATTCTTCGCTGCGGGTGCCGGTCGACAGGACGAGGTGATCGAGGCCGTTGGTGGCGGCGACGTCAATCGCCAGATGCACGCTGGCTCGCCACGCCGCGGTGCTGAAGGGCTGAACGACTCCAGTGCTGCCCAGGATACTGATACCGCCGAGCACGCCCAGGCGGGCGTTGGTAGTTTCCTTGGCGATTTCCTCGCCGTTGGGTACTGAAATACGGGTTCGCACGCCGGTGTCCGGAGGCCAACCGCATTCCACCAACCCTTCTGCTACTGCATCTGCCATCATGCGGCGTGGCACGCGGGTTACTGCGGGCTCTCCGACCTCGACGCCGGTGCCGGGTCGAGTTACGGTGCCTACGCCCGGCCCGCCGGTAATGTGCAAGCCCTTGTTCCCGTCGGGCAGCCGCCACACGCCCACGATGATTTCGGCGCCGTGGGTTACGTCGGGGTCGTCCCCGCCGTCTTTGATGGCCGAGCAGCGGACACCTTCGGAGGGATCCATCGGCCAGCTCTGGTGTATGGCGAGGGTGGCGCGCCCGATACCGCCGGGCAGAGGCACGGAGACTTCTTCAGGAGCGGCGCCGGACAGCATCAGGATTACCGCAGCCTTGGCGGCGACGGCAGCGGTCGTGCCGGTGGTGTAGCCGGTGCGCATACCGCGAGGGTCGCGTTTGGTAGGACGTGAGTAGTCGCTTTCCGGCCTGGTTTCGTTGTTGGTTTCTGGTGCTTGCTCGGTCATGATCCCCGTCTCGGTGCTCGCCGGTTACGCGCGGTCAACGCTGCGCAGTAAATACAATTCTACCCTATCGGATAGCGCCTGCAAAATTGGCTCGCGGTTGCCCCAGTCTAACACTGGTATGCCAATGCCAACCGTTCCCCGCCCCCGTTGCAGATACCGGTCAGAGCTTGGTATTCCTGTTGATGCGGCGCGAGGTCGACAGAGAGAAGGGTTACAGGCGTAGTTGGGCTTCCCGCACCCGATCGCCGGCTACGGCTACCAGCCGGTCATCTACCCCCAGAGGCGGGGCCACCCACATCGGTGTGTCCGGGTAGCTTTCTTGCAGCTGACGCATGGTGCCCAGCACGTTGCGCTGCAGGATCAGTCCAGGGAAAAACACGTAGGGCACGCAGATGAGGCTGCCGATATTGCGGTCGTTTACCAGTTGCGCAACGGCGTCCTCCATCGTGGGGTCACCGTAGTGGGATTGAGCCACGGACACGGCGAAATCGAGGCCGAGGTCCTGTTCGACCCAAATGCCCAATTCCTTGAGCCAGATGCAATCGTCGTATCTGGTTTGAGTGCCGGCTTTGACGATGAGTACGCCCACGGGCCGGTCGTCCACCGGGCGGGCAGCCTCTTCGGGCAACGCGGCGATGCGGTCGCGCACGAGATCGGCGATGCGCAGGTCGGCGCCGAGGCCGTCGGCCAGGTACACGTCGACGGTCGGAGCCGCCTCGGCAATGTCCTCCAAAACCTCTTCCATTTCCAGCGTGGCGTGTTTCCCGTTGCCCAACAGGTAGGGTTGAACCACAACCTGGCTGACACCCTGTTGGGCCAGCATTGCGACGGCTTCCGGCGGGTGTGGCGGGAGAAACTCCAGACAGGACACCACGACTTGCTGAACCACCCCAGCGAGGCGGTCTTGCAATCGCAAGGCGACATCCCTGAGACCCACCGGCGTGTTGGGGCAACCGGGGCACCAGGAAGGGAACCGGGCGCCATCAGCTGACCAGGCGCAGGAACATTCATCGCGCGTGGCGCCACGCTGACTGCCGTGGCAGAGTAGCACGACGCCCCAGGATTCGCCGTCGGCAGGTGGTGGGGTTGTGTGATCGAATTCAGCGGCCATCAGTTTTGGCCCTCCAGCAGGTCGAGCAACGCGTTGATGGTGGCCGCTGCCGCCGAACTACCGCCGCGCCGGCCGAGGATTGTAATGTGGGGGACGTTGCGGGCGGCCAGCTCCTGCTTCGACTCCGGGCAGGCCACGAAACCGACCGGCATACCCACGACCACGGCGGGAACGACTTGTTCGGCATCGATAAGGTCCAGGAGGGCCAGCAGTGCGGTGGGAGCGTTGCCGATTGCTACCACCGATCCGTCGATGACTGGAGCCAGTTCACGCACGGCGGCAACGCTGCGGGTGGTGCCTTCCCGTTGGGCGCGGGCGGCGACCTCCGGAGCGTCGATGAGGCAGGCGGTCTCGACCCCGGCCCTAGTCAACCCGGCTCGGGATATGCCCACCTGAACCATGCGCACATCGGTTACGATCCGCCGGGCCTGCCGCAGGGAGTCCAACGCGTTGGCTACTGCGTTGCCGCTAAACCGCACGTCATCCGCGATGGCCGGGTCACCCTCGGCGCGGACGATGCGATGCAATACGTACCGCTCCTGTTCGTCAAGCTGATTCAACACCTTGCTGCCAGCCAGGCTGTCGGCGACCATTACCAAGCTTTGGCGGTCAATTTCGTCGGGGAGCAGGGCGTATTTTTGGACTAGTGTCATAGAGCCAGGGTTAGCGGAGTGAGAGGACATAAAGGGGACAGGTTCCGGGTTCGGGCCGGGTTAGAGTACGAGCACAGGGTGGGATAGGCACGTTGTTCGCCGGGTCAGGCCACCACGACGTTGACCAAACGACCGGGGACATAGACGACGTTTTTGACCGCTTTGCCATCGGTGTGGCTCTGGATTCGAGGGCTGCCCAATGCGAGAGTGCGGGCGTCGTCTTCAGCGATGTTGGCCGCCACAGTGATGCGGTCGCGCACTTTTCCGTTTACCTGCACGACGAGGGTAACCTCTTCTTCAGCGGCAAGCTCGTCGTCCCACGTGGGAAACGCCTGCTGGTGGATGCTGTACTCTCGACCGTGCCGTTCCCAGAGTTCTTCGGCCAGGTGCGGGGCGATTGGAGCCAGCATGAGCAGGAATTTGTCGATGCAATCGCGCCAGGTGGCGGCATCGATCGACTGTTCATTCCAGACTCGGCTCAGGTGATTCACCATTTCCATGAGCGCAGCAATGGCGGTATTGAATTTGAAGCGGTCGAGGTCTTCGTAGCATTTGCGGATGGTCTGGTGTAACACGCGCTGGGTGTTGCGAACTGCCGCTGGGTCGGTTGGCTGGTTGTCGAGTGCGTCCGCGTCTCGCTCCACCACGCTCCACAGACGGTTTAGCCAGCGCACTACGCCGTTGATGCCTTCGTCGCTCCACGGGCCGCCCTGGTCCCACGGGCCGATGAACATCAGGAAGCAGCGCACCGCATCGGCGCCAACCTGGCCCACCACGTCGTCAGGGTTGACCACATTGCCACGGCTCTTGCTCATCTTCTCGTGGTCTTGACCGAGAATCACACCCTGATTGAACAAATCGGAGGAACGGCTCGTCGATGTTGAGCATATCCATATCGCGCAGGGCCTTGATGAAGAACCGGCTGTACAAAAGGTGCATTACCGCGTGCTCGGCGCCGCCGGTGTATTGCTTGACCGGCATCCAGTTTGCAGTGACGTCTGGCTCAAACGGGCCGGAGCTGAAATTCGGGCTGCAATACCGGAGCATATACCAGGCCGAATCCATGAAGGTGTCCATGGTGTCGGTTTCCCTTCGGCCGGGGCCGCCGCATTGGGGGCACACCGTTTTTACGAACGCATCGTTAATGGCGAGTGGCGATTCACCGGTGGGCCGAAATTCGGCATCTTCCGGAAGCAGCACGGGCAGGTCTGCTTCAGTCACCGGGGAGACTCCGCACGCGTCGCAGTACACCATGGGGATGGGGGTACCCCAGTAGCGTTGTCGGGAGATGAGCCAGTCGCGGAGGCGGTAGGTGACGGAGCGTTTGCCCCAGCCGCGCTTTTCCACATCGTCAGCGATCGCCCGCATGCCTTCCTCCTCGGTCATGCCGTCGTAGGCGCCTGAGTTGGTCATAAAGCCTTCGCCGACGTAGGCTTCCTCCGGCTCCCGGCCGTCCCAATGGATGGGTGCGATGACGGTGCGAACGGGCAGGCGATACTTGCGGGCAAAGGCGAGGTCGCGGGAATCGTGGGCGGGCACACCCATGACCGCACCGGTGCCGTAGGTGGTCAGCACGTAGTCGGCGATGTAGATGGGCACGCGTTCGTTGTTGAGGCGGTTGCGGGCGTATGCGCCGATAAACACACCGGATTTGTCCTTGTCGGTGGACATCCGGTCTATTTCCGAGGCTGCTCTGGCCTGCGCAATGTAACTTTCAACCTCCTCGCGTCGGCCATCGGAGGTGAGTTTGCTCACCAGTGGGTGTTCGGGAGCAAGCACCAGAAAAGTTACGCCGAAGATGGTGTCGATACGCGTGGTGAAAGTGCGGATTTCAGTTTCATCCAAGCCGTGTTCGGCGATGTCAAAACTGATTTCGACACCCTCGCTGCGGCCAATCCAGTTCCGTTGCATCGTCAGGATTTTGTCGGGCCAGTCGGTCAGCGTGTCGAAATTCATCAGTTCGTCGGCGTAGTCGGTGATGCGCAGGAACCACTGCTCCAGGTCGCGGCGGGTGATTGGGGTGTCGCAACGCTCGCAGACGCCGTTGAGCACCTGTTCGTTGGCCAGCACGGTTTGGCAGGACGGGCACCACACTACGGGGGCATTGGCACGGTAAGCCAGACCCTGTTCGTACAGTTTGATGAAGAACCACTGGTTCCAGCGGTAGTATTCGGGCAGGCAACAAACGACTTCACGATCCCAGTCGTAGATTGCGCCCAGCGACCGCAGTTGTCTCCGCATATTCTCCACGTTAGACATCGTCCATTCGTAGGGATGAATGCCTCGGGAGATGGCGGCGTTTTCGGCAGGGAGGCCGAAGGCGTCGAAGCCTATGGGATGCAGGACGTTGTAACCTTGCATCCGGCGGAACCGGGCGTGGGCGTCGGCGGGAGCCATGGCGTACCAGTGGCCGATGTGCAAGTCCCCCGAGGGGTAGGGGTACATCGTCATTTCGAACCACTTGGGCCGGGGATCGTTGTCATCCACGTGGTAGATGCCGTCGCGTTCCCACTTTTCCTGCCACTTGCGGTCAATGTCAACGGCGTCGTAACGGAGTTCGATTTGACGCTGGGTGGTTGTCATTGGAAGGAATCCCTCAACAATTCAACTGGTGGTGCCGCATCGGCGCTGGAAATGGCAAAGGCGCGTGGCGATGGGGCCCGGCTGCGGCTCTAATATAGCATATGCCTGAGGCGCCGGCTGCGGCTTTCCGCCAGTATATCATCGCCTTCGGAAGCGTTGGGTGGTGCTGACAACGCCGCAACCCGGGTCAGTGATGCGCGCCATGCCGCCGCGGCTCCGATTGACATATTCTGGATGCCACGCCTACAATTCCGACCGGCATAATACGACTGTTGGACAGCAATAAATGCTTGCACACCCAACTCGCCGCCGTTGCTTCGCGTGAACGTTCAATCTGGAGGCAACGCCGGTTTCACTACGCCTGACGCGGCTCAGGATCAAACAGTCGAAGGTGCACCCGAATATCTGCGAGTTGACCGGCGGGCCGCTGCAATACGGATGCCGGTACGGCGCCGGGTGCCGCCCCGCCGGTGGTCATCCACCCCGCTACTCCTGCTGGGTTTCTTCCTGCTGCTGAACATTGTTGGCGGGGTATTGCTGTGCCTGCCCATATCGGCGGCGGAGGGCACCTCCACCGAGCTGAGGGTGGGGTTTTTCACCGCCATTTCAGCCTCGACGGTAACCGGTTTGGTGCTAGTTGACACGCCAACCTATTGGTCGTTTATCGGTCAGGTGGTCATCTTCCTCCTGATGTTGATCGGGGGACTGGAGTTCATCACGGCGGCCACCATGCTGATTGTCGTGATTGGCCGGCGCGCCACCGTGATTGAGGAGGATGTTTATCAAGACACAGTGGGCGCGGTTATATGAACAACATCCCGAAGGTGGCGCGCAACATTGTAATTGCGTTCTTTATTGGATACCTGGCTGGCGCCGTTCTCATGTTTTTCAAGATGAGGTCTGTGAACGATTTCTCGCTGTCCGGAAGCGGTGTGGCAATCGCTGTTCCTGTCTGTTTCGGCGCTGAACAATGCCGGATTTTCCATTTTGCCCAACGCGGCCGGCGGCAGCAACGCCGACACGCTGGGCGCCCAGCCCTTCCTGATGGCGATTATCACGCCGATGATAATCCTGGGTGCGTTTGGCTGGCCTTTGGTCGTCGACATCAAGCGCAACTGGCGGTTCAGGTTTTCGCTCCGAGACTGGCGGGCGAGCGGCAGTTTCGTGATGTTGCCGTTCAATTTTTCGCGACTCACGCTAGATACCAAGCTGGTTCTGATTCTCACGTCGACGCTGTATGTTTTCAGCGCGTTGATTTTCCTGTTTGCGGAGTGGAATGGAGTGCATGGCGAGTATGACGTACTGGGCAAGGTGGGCTCTTCGGTGTTCCACGGCGTCAGTGGCCGCACCGCTGGATTCTCGGCGCTGGATTGGGGAGCCACCGCTGATTTCACTTTGTTGGTGTTCGGCGGGCTGATGTTCGTGGGAGGGTCGACCGCCTCAGTATCAGGCGGCATCAAGGTGAACACGCTGGCGGTGTTGATGGTGGCGGCGCGTTCTTCGGCGCTGCGTCATCCGCGCACTGAGATATTCCGTCGGGAAATTGGCGCTGCCCTGGTGGCGCGTGCTTTGCTGGTTACGTTGCTGGGCATTGTGTACCTGGGGTTGGTGGTGCCGATCCTCACCTACACGGAGCCGGATATACCCTTTGTGCCGCTGATGTTCGAGACGATTTCGGCGTTTGGCACCAATGGAATGTCGACTGGAATGTCTGCTCACCTCAGCCTTGCCGGGGCAATTATATTTATGATTACAATGCTGTTGGGGCGCGTGGGCCCCCTGACTCTGGTGATGCTGTTGGCGCCCCGGGACGATTTGTCCTACCGTTATCCGATAGAACCAGTTAGAATTGGTTAGCGATTATGGCGAATCAGATTTGCGTCATTGGCTTGGGTCGATTCGGGACCAAACTGGCCAGCACCCTGTTTCAACGCCAGCACGAGGTGTTGGCGATCGACGCCGATGAGCAGAAGGTGCAGGCGATGCTGGGTCAGGTGACCTATGCCGTGGAAGCCGATGCGACCAATGAAACGGCGTTGCGTGATTTGGGCGTGGCGGATATGGATGTGTGCATCGTCGCGTTGGGCAGCCAGATTCAGTCGAGCATCATCACGACCATGCTGCTTAAAACGATGGGAGTGCCGTTCGTCATCGCCCGAGCAACTGATGCGCAGCACAGCGAAATCTTGCACCGAATTGGCGCCGACAAGGTAATATTCCCGGAAGAAGAGGCCGCAGTGCGCGCCGCCAGCCTGAATATGACGCCCAATGCGATAGAGTACATGGACATTACCGAATCCACCGGGGTGCACAAGCTGCGGCCACCGGAACGGATGCGGGGGCGACGGCTGCGGGATGTTGGACTGGCGCAGGATTCCACCAACCCACGCCTGGCGGTGATGGTGTTGCGTCGCGCCAACGAATATATTCTGAACCCCCAGGATGACGAAGTAATCGCCGACGGGGACGTGCTTGTGGTGGTGGGAAGCCATGCGGAGATCGAACGGGCATTTGCCCGTTAGCCCGTGTTGACGTGATAGTGGCTGGCAAGACGAGCGTGGACGAATACGACGAAGCTCGCGCGGCAGTCAGGCTTGCCGAGTTGCCCTGTTGGGAGACGCTATGACCGAATGTATCGGCTACCTGGGACCGGCCGGAACCTACACAGAGCAGGCTGCGCTACTGTACGCTCCAGAAGCCACCCTGAAGCCGTATCCGACCATTAACGCGGTTGGGGCCGCAGTGGCCAATAGTGAGCTGGACGCTGGCGTGGTGCCGATCGAAAACAGTTTGGAAGGGTCGGTTACCTTCACGCTGGACCTGTTGATTAGCCAGTCTGGGCTGTCGATTCGCAACGAGGTGGTGATTCCGATTGACCACTATCTGGTGGCGCCGCGTGGGGTTGAAGCGGACGTGGTGCGGGTGATTTATTCGCATCCGCAGGCGTTGGCTCAATGCCGCGGCTACCTGGAGTTGCGGTTCCCACAGGCGCAAAACGAGGCGTCGTTGAGCACGGTTGCCGCAGTGGCTGATATGCAGGCGAGCGTGGTGCCGGCGGCGGCGATCTGTCCGCAGCGGGCGACGGAAATTTATGACGTGCAGGTGCTGGACCGGGGAATTCAGGACAGCCCGGTGAACCAGACCCGGTTTGCCGTCCTCGCGCGCGCCGACCACGCGCCAACCGGCCATGACCGCACCTCGATTTGTTTCTCGTTTACGGTAGACCGACCGGGGAGTTTGTACCATTGTATCGGCGAATTTTCGGAGCGGAATATTAATCTGGTCAAGATAGAAAGCCGGCCCACGAAACAGGCGTTGGGCAGGTATATCTTTTTGATTGATTGCATTGGGCACCGCGCGGAACCCGACGTAGCCGCAGCGCTGGAGGGTTTGCGCCAGCGCGTGGATATGTTCAAGATACTGGGCTCTTATCCGTTGTGGGAACCGGCCGACGGGTGACCACGGCGCCGGGAGCTTCAAAAAGACAGAACCGGCCTAGCTGGTAGACCGGTTCGTTTTTCGGCGAGTTTGAATTCAACCCGCCGACGGCAGTGTTCGGAATTAACTGTGGGGATATGGTCCGTTGACTGTCATGGATGGGTTTGGCGTGTCGCTGCGGCGAAAGCCGGTGATGCGACTCTTCGACCGAGCGGAGCCGTATATCCTGGCGATGTTCCGCTTGACTACGCTGCGGGATTCATGACCGGAGTAGGGCGCCATCAACATACCGGCAACCACTCCCACCGCAGCACCCGCTGCCAGTAAGCTGAGCGTCTGGTTAGACCTCATGCTCATGTTAGACTCCCCGTTGGTATTTGACTGGTGTCGATATTCAACCTGTTGCAGGGGTTAGTCGCGGCTGCTGCCCACCGGTCGGCATTCAGAGTCGACAATATCGCCGGTCTTGCCTCCCCTGCGGAGCCAGTTACGCACCCGAGAGCCGCGGGTTCGCGTGGCGTCGGCACTTTCCTTGATCTGGGAGCGAATCTCCCGGCCGCTCTTCGGCGCCAGCATCAATCCGGCAGCGATTCCTACTGCGATACCAGCTGATACCAATCCTATTCCTCGCTTTGCGCTACGCATGTCGATACCTCCTGGTGTATTCGTTTTGGTTGGCCCAATGGTGTCTCTTATCGGAACGGAAAAACCGAGGCCTTGGCGGACGCGCAACCAACCTGCCTATCAACCCTTCATCCACGTTATCCACACCCGGTTGCGTTGCCATCTGCTGGGGCCTCGGCCAGATCTTATTGGTCGATGATTTTACGGTCGCGGTACTGCGACCCCCGTAACGGAGCGAGGGAGCTTATTGCTCCAGCAACTCCTCTACTTCGTCATCGGCGCGGTTACGAACGCGGTCCACATACGACCGACCGGTACCGACGGCTCGGTCGACGCCGCGGCGCACGTAGCTACGAGTCTCGTTGCCAGTTTGGGGAGCCAGCAATATGCCTGCTGCCAAACCCAGCGCCAGACCGGCCAGACCGGCGGTCAAAATTCCTATGGCTTGTCCTTCGCGACTCATGATTGCCTCCTGTTGAGATGAAAATATTAGGTTTTATCCTATGAAGGCGACGTTTCGCCTACCGACTATGGGATATTTCCCGTATCTAATTGGCTGATGCCGGAGTGCCTTCAATTATCAATAATGGTAATGAAGATTAGTTGAACTGTCAATACTTATTTTTTTACCAGATTTATAATTCGCCCACGTTAGCTTGACATTTGAGTGGCGCACCCAGGAATCCCGCCGGTGCGATTTGGACGTGAGCGGGGTGGGGGTAAGTTACAATCGCGATATGCTTGGCAATTGGTGAACTTGGCTATTGCGGTGGCCTCGTTGTTTTTTCGTTCCCATTTTGTGGTGCGCGGCGATAGCATGGAGCCGGCTTTGCGAGACGGGGATCTGGTGCATTCGGTCCCGAGGGCGCTGCTGGTGCGAGGCTTACGCCGTGGGTCAATCGTGGTGGCTGATACCCGGTGGGGTTTGGATCGGATTGTAATCAAACGCGTGGCCGCATTGCCCGGTGAGTGGGTCGATGTTGCCAGCGACGGAGCCGTGTTTGTTTACGGGCGTCCCCAGGAGCATCCGCCGGGCATTACCGAGCGTATCTGTGGTGAGAGGGGACAGCCTGGCCCCACCATGGGCTGGGTATGCGGGGATGATGAGTATTTTCTGGTTGGGGACAATTCGGTGCAAAGTGCGGACAGCAGACGCCTCGGGCCGGTGGGGGCGACAGATATAATTGGTTGCGTTTGGCTCAGGGTTCCCGGTCACCTGATCCGCCGTTGACGACCTGGCAGCATATCCGACACCTGACGCCCAGAACTTGCGCACCCACTCAAGCAACCGCACCGCTGACAATGACTTTTGAATACGCGATAATGAGGGCTGCCGGCTGGGCGAACCGGAACCGGCGGCTGCTGAAAGTGTGGCCCATACTGGGGTTGCTGCACGCCAGACGCGGAATCCAGCGGGCTGCTGAACATAACCGCGCACTGCGGGTATTTCTGGCAACTCTGGCCGCCGTAACCCGGAACGATGCCCAGCAGATGATTGCCGGGGTGGCCTACTACGGTGTGATTGCGTTGATCCCAATCTCGGTCGGAGTGCTGCAATTGCTGGAGCTGATTTTGGGGACGGCGCTTACCGCACACTGGTATACGCGATTGTCCTCGGCGGTATTTCCGTCGGGAATAGAACTGACGACGCTGGTTGGTTCACGGAATTCGGCGGCGGCCAGCATAACGGCGGGGCTGGCATTGGTGGGCCTGACCTGGGGATCATTCAAGCTGTTTGGCGCAGTGGGTCTGGTGGTGAACCGGATGTGGGGAATTGAGCCGACCCAGGTGGGATACATCGCCAGGGCGCGGGAATTTTTGATCCTGATTGCAACGGCACTGATACTGCTAATTTCCAGCGTTACCACCTATCTGGTTGACCAGGAATCGTTGCCGAACCTGCTGCGGGATTTTCAATTGGTACAGTGGGCAAACGCGCTGCAAAACCAGCGCTGGGTCTCGGACATCGCAACAACGGTGGTGTCGGCGGCAGCGTTCATGCTGGTGTACCGATACGTGCCGGAGCGGACGGTACGGTGGAAGTGGGCAATGATCGCTTCGGTTTTCGCCGGCATCGCTTTCAAGCTTAGCAACGATGGGTTTGCGTTGATCCTGGGCTACGTGCTGCCGGCGCAGCTGCTGTACGGGCCGCTGGCAACGGTGCTGGTATTCCTGATGTGGATGTTTGCTTCGTCGATGATTCTGGCCGCCGGGGCTGCGGCGTGCGCTTATGCCCAAAGCATCTACGAGGGTGATGGAACCAAGACGGGGCCGGGATGGTTCCTGAGGTAGGGGTCTGGCGATACGACGCAACGACACAGGCACGGGTTTTCCGGCAGCGCTGTGGGTTGCGGCGCGAGTGCGGTAAGCCGCCGGCATTGCGCGGGGGTCGGGTCGAGAGGCTGGCGGCGATGGTCTGCTGCGCTATGACCGGATATTTGCGATTACAGCTTCCAGAAACTGCCCACCTGACAGATGATATCCACCTTGTTGATTGATTCGGCCGGCCAGCCGACCATCTTGAGCCAATCCTCGAAGTGGGCCTGTTCCACGGCCTCGCACTCGGAGACCAGGCGACCGTTTTCCAGATCGCCGTAGACTTTCAGAACAGTGGTGCGGCGGTCGGGGCGCCACTTGCGGACGGCGTTGAGCTTGTCGCGGAATTCGGCTTCGGTGATGCCGGGGACGTTGTGGACGGCGATGAATCGGGCCATTGGATCAAACTCCGTGAGTGGTTGGATGGGTGATGATTAGGCCAGTCGTTGGGGGGGCGAGATGATGGGGAAGGAACTGATTGTGGCGCTGGCAGGATGGTTTGGAATGGCGATTTCACCCTCACCCCAGCCCTCTCCCATCAAGAGAGAGGGGGTTGATGCTGTTCTAATCGTCGGCGGGCGGGACGAAGGGGTAGGGGATGGGTGGCCCGTTGCGGAGGGGCAGGACGACCGTGGCGGTGCCGGGCATACTTTCGATGCCGTCCTGGGTTTTCATGCCGATTTCCAGCTCCACGAAGCCCATCTGGTTCTTTTCGGATTTGCTGGTGACGCGACCCCACATGATGAGGATGTCGCCGGGAACCAGCATGGCGCGGTGTTCAAATCGGGCTTTCCACGGCCAACCGTTGGGCAGCGTCCAGTCTTTGAGGTACTGGGGCACCACGCTCTGCTTCCAGGAGCCGTGAACCAGGATGCTGGGGTTCCGGTCATGGTTGAGGCCGAAGTCCAGATCGTAGTGGATCCGGTGGAAGTTTTCGATGGCGGCGCTCCAGCGGAAGAGGTGCGTGGGCGTTGGTTTGTAGATGTATTTGGGGAGTTCGTCGCCTTCGGCCACGTCCTCAAAATAGATTTGGCTCTTTTGGCGCAGGCCGTCGGCGTCGGGGCGCTCGTTGCGCTTCCAGATGTCATCGGCTTCCATGTTGAGCAACTCTTCGAGAGGTGTACTCATCTCGGTGTCTCCTGATGGGGGATCGCTGTGATTAGCGCGGTTGGGATAGCGCCGGCGTGTTTCGCGGGCCGCAGCTGAGCGCGTTACCGGCGGATGGTGGAAGCGCGGGTGATGCAAAGGGTTACGTCATCCTGGTTCCAGTAGCGAGTTTCGCGGGTGATGATGAGGAAGGGCGTGCCGTCGCGACCGAGGCGCTCTCGGATGTCGGAGTAGCTGTTCTGGAAGAAGATGGTGTCGCCGATGCTGGGGTAGGCCAGGACTTCGAGCTCGTTGCCGGCGTTGAGCACGCGGACGAGGTTGGTGGGCACGGGCGGGAGCTCGCCGGGGCGTGCAACGGAGCCGATGCCGTCGGATTCGGGGTTTTCCTCGAAGGCGGCGGTGATGGGGTCGCCCTGGTCGGGACGGATGCGGCTGGCCAGGTAGCTAACCATGATGGGAGGGGTGATGAGGCCGCCGTAGCGGGTCGATTTGGCGAAGTCGTCGTCCCAATAACGAGGGTCGGGATCCATGAGTGCCTGGGTAAAGCGGCGCATATATTCGGCGTCGACGACACCCCAGGATTTGACCACCTCACCGCTGATGCCAATCATTGCCTGAACCTCGGGGGTGAGGGCCGGCGGAGGAGTTTGCTGCTGAGTCATAGGTCGAGCGCTCCAGAAATCGGGTGATGATTGGCGCTGTTGAACGGTTGGCCGCGCCGAGGCCAAATGTAGCGCAGGGCGTCGGGTTCGTCAATCGGGGTCTGACACTCACGCGTACCGGCTTTGATCTGACATTGCGAGCGTAACGTGGCAATCCCGTCGCCGCAGCAACGGCGGTTCGTCAAAGTGTGTTCAGCCTCATCGAGATTGCCACGTCGCTGCGCTCCTCGCAATGACAGATTGGAGCGGGTACGGGTGCGGGGTTTTACATGGGTCAGCGTCTTCCGGTTAGGCAGCGCCATGCCGCTCGAAGGGGCGGGAACGCTGCCGTCGCGAGAAGGGCGTGGCAATCGTGCTGCCGAAGGGGCGCTTTCTTTGATTCCAGATTGCCACGTCCCTCGACGAGCTCGGGATGAGCGGCCGTTTCGCGCAACGGCGGGTGCGAGCAGAGGTCTGGGATTCGCGCATTGTGGGGAGTATGGGTTTTCGGTTTGGAACCGGGTGGCTGTTTCTATCGCTTATCCTTCTTGATTGGGGGTTGGGTTGGAATCTTGATTCGGTGGAGCAAAGGGTTTCAGGCACTGTCGGCGATACGGCCAGGAGATGCAAATTTTGCCCTAGAAAGCTGGCCGGAAACCGACCGGATTATGGCGAGGGGTTATACTCCGGGCAATCAAGGCTAGCGGAGCAGGGCAATGCTGGGAAAGCGTTCGGACCAGAAGGGCCTGTGGGAAGCGGACCGGTTGTATCTGGACTACGTGGGCCAGGACCCTTCTACGGTTGCTGGCCTCGTTGCGGGCCAGCTGTTCATGCGATGACGATTTCGCCGAGATCTACGGTCCGGACAATTGACGGGACAGCGTGCCGCCCCAGCCTGCTGCCACGGCGCTGCTGTTGCAGACCTACGACAAGGTGAGCGACGCGAGGCCAGCGAGGCTGACTTCGACATCCGGTGGAAGTCGCCTGGATTGATTGAGGATATACCCTTTGCCAAGAGTACGCTGCAGATGTTCCCCGGGCGCATGTGATACTGCCGACAAGGTGCCGGGAGTGTTCGAGGGCAGCCTGCGCCTGCTCGGCGTCGGCTACCGGAAAAAGCGTGGTGTGGATGCGTGTGGCGCTGGACACGACCTACCTCCTGGGACGGGGCGCGGTGAAGGACAAACAAATGCTGTCGGCGGCATCGTCAAAAGTTGCG